AATTTTATGCCTTTGTGCCAGAAGCATGGAGAATGAAGACTAGAGTTTGGGAGCCACATACATTATAATTATGCTTTTTATCCCTCGCTCAGTTTTTGCAAAAGATTTCTGTGGAGTTTTAGCCTGGCTTCAACCGGAAATCAGTACTAAGTCTTAAAAGAGGGCAGGGTATTAAGACACAGATGCAAAAGATACAGCATTACAAGATTTTTTTTAAATCTGGAAGACAATTAACATTGTCAATGTTAACTATCAGTGAACAATTTCCTCAGCTCTTCTGTTTTAAATATTTGTTACACATCTAAATTATTTTCATCATTTAAAAACTGATAGAGTGTAAATGACAGCATATTGTGATAAACATCATAATTGGAATTGTTTAAATAATTTGTATCATTTTCTTAAAATTATAAAATTAAATAACCCCCAAAAACTGCAGAGAAAATTAAAATCGCCCCATAATGCTATTTAATGTAACACTCCAACAATAGCTCTTAAAAAAATACTTGTTACCACTTTATTTCTCTACACACTAATTAAATATTATATATACCTTATTGATTTTCATCACATCTTAGATTCCACAAATATAATTTGTTTATTTCAAAATATTCATTAGCTATTTAGTTCCTTTAATATACCCAGATTCATGTATATTTTCTGTACCTCATTCTTTGCCCCAGGACCAGATTATTATAATATTGTCAGTTTTAAAACTTCAAAGCAGTCACTTTGAATCTGGGACAATGTGAAGAGCCTCACACTGGATTATGAAACTCATTCTTCAAAACTGCCTTGTCGTAGAGTCTCCACTATTATCTCATTTACATCAATGCCTCGTTTACCCAGACTATACGTATAGTAATGGATACATCCAGGACTGCCCCTAGTTTGACTACAAACGCCATAACCTTCATTCTTTTGCTATACAGTGGTGTCTTGCTCTTTGATAGGTTTTGGAGGATTGTTTCCTAAAGGATTGGTTCACTTTTCAGGGTGGCCTAAGCACCACTCTGTTTTCTCTACCACTGAGTACCATCTGTTGTTGTTGTTTTATTTTAAATGGGGAAACCACAGGGGTGGCTGGGTGGCTCAGTTGGTTAAGCATTCGACTTGGGCTCAGGTCATGACCTTGCAGTCTATGAGTTTGAGTCCCACATCAGGCTCTGTGCTGATGGCTCAGAGCCTGGAGCCTGCTTCTGATTCTGTCTCTTTCTCTCTGTCCTTCCCCTGCTTGCACTCTGTCTCTCTCTCTCAAAATTAAATAAACATAAAAATAAATTCTAAAAAAAAGAACATAAGTTATTTATAAATGGGGAAACTACAGAACCTTTTGGTTTTCTTACCCTTTTTAAGTTTTTTTATCAGTAAACTGAAAATACTTGTTACCTGATTAAAGTACTTGTTTTGTGAAATTACTCTTCCTGCTTTTCTCTCATTCATCTATTAAGATCTTAGTGTTTTTCTTTTCTGCTTGTATGATCTCTTGTTTAAGAATTTAAATCATTTATCCATAGTCTATAGTCTTGGTTCTCTGATCTAGTATCTTTGAGAATTTCTTCCCTAGAGTTATAATCACCTTGCTTTGGTAGGAGGGAGGTTATCTTACTTACACTGACACACTTCGTGCATGTATTGATCAACTCTGTGTAAGTCCTGGCTAAAGTAATTTCATTTGAATCTTTTTTGGGTCTGGAGAGCTTCTGTTATCATATTTTAATCTTCCGAAGGACAAATCGAAATATCTTGTTAAAACAAAGACTAGCAGTTTTTCATTATAAGCCTGGGAGAGCTAAACTATTTTAAACTTGGATAAAACTTGTTATAGCTGCGTGCCGTTACTTACAGACTTCCAGGTGCTAAAAACTGATGAGAATGCAGATGTGCTATGTTGAACCATAGCTCACATAAATTAGATTGGCTGCTATTTCTAGCACATTTTGGTTTCTATTTCTAAATTATCTCTGAGGCTTGTAAGCATTTTCAACCTGTACTTCAAGTATGTATTGATTAAGGAAAGAACACGTATACCATCTGGTGCTGAGGTGTTACTGTGACAGCATCCTCAGACTTTATTTTAAAACATTTACTTGGGGGGGGGGGTGGCTATACTGCTTCAGATATTCATAGAAAAGGAACTTCAGTTTTAATCTTCTTGATAACAGAATAATACATAGGGTGCTGTGATCACTAAATCCTTACAAAATATATTTTGTAGAACTGAGTTTTTCCAAAAAAAAATTACATTGACCATTTTGTATTTATATGAATCGGTCTGAATATAATTAGCTATTTAGTTACATTGTAAATGGAAATACTTAGTATGATGATATTATATGGATCATCAAAAAGCTAATTCATCTGAGATAATAAGTATCTAGTTTATCACTCTAAGTATGATATTACGAAGAGGAATAAGCTACCACTCTTCTCCCAAAATGCATGATATGCCAGATATTGATCTAAGTGAATTTATGTATTCTCACTTCATTTTTAAAAAACCTTTGAGATAGGATCCATTATGATTTCTATTTTATAGCTGTCAACTGAAACACAAAGAGGTTAACTAATTTGTCCAAGGTAATTTATTTATGCCACTTAAAACAAGTCAAAGACACTATCAGTGCAAATCTAAAGCAATGACTCAGATAAAAGCAGTAGCACAAGTGTTTGATTTTACATGATTTCATATTTTTGATTAAAGTTTATTAAAACTTTAAAATCTTAGCGCTAAGTATGGTGGTTTAAGTTCTTCGTGTATTTGGCGTTACTCTGAATTGCATGTGTATGTGTGTGTATGTGTGTGTATGTATTAAACTATAAGAAAAAATCTTATTATAATTTTCAAATTAAGAGGACTGAAAAAATATTATTTTTAGAATCATTCGTGTGTTTTTGGAGTCTCAGAACACTGGCTGACTATGAAATCCTAATAGGTAATGGCCAACCACAGTGAAGTTATCACCTTCCTAAACACAATTCTACATGAGTTTATAAACAGTGTACCCTGAACTAGAAGTATGTTTGTACTTTATCAGGAGATGACATCATCCTTTTTTATTAATCACTGAGAAATAGATACATTTGTCAACAATTATTATTTATTACTGATGGAGTTGAAAATGTGTTCTTTGAAATTAACACATACATGCAAACTTTCCACATTCATAGCTATCAGTAAATTTAAATAATTGTGCCATTGTTAATATCAGTTACAGTAAAGCACTGACTACTTGTGGATGTCATTCATTTCGTTTAAACTGTGAAGAAATAAAACGATTAAAGAATCATCCTCATCTTAGGAAACTGATAGTCTAAGAAAAGAAGTCAAACATTCTTTAAGGACAGGTACTAAGTGTTTTAGCCTTTGCAGACCGTACATTGTCCATCATAACTACTCAACTATGTCAGAACAACACTAAACAAGCCACAAATAACAAGTAGAGTGTGGCAGTGTTCTAACAACACTGCATTTACAAAAATAAGTGGGGGGCTAGTTTTGGTTCATGGGCTGTAGTTTACCAACCCATAATCTGAGTGCTAATATAAAAAGAAACATTAGGAAAATTAATTTATAGAAGAGATTAGTGTTTAAGATATTTATGAAATAAATGGAATTACAAAGAAATATATCAAGATCTGCCAAAGTATTTCACAGATGTTTTACCTAATCTTTAAGTATTTCAGTATTTTGATATCCTGTAACTTTGTATTTCATTATCTCCACAGTGAAATAAGTTTTGGCATATTTTAAAAAATGTATTACAATAAATAGTCAAATAGGAAGTAAATGTCACAGGAAACATTTTTATTTACTAGGATTTCACTTTAGTGACAGTCAAGTTTCCAGACAATTACTAGTCCTAAAAATTAAAACATCATCAGTTTTCCGGAAAAAAAAAGAAAAAAATATATATATAAAACATTGCCTACTTTCCTTTGAAAAAGACCCATTGAAATTTAATTTGGAAATATTTGCCTACCTTTGTTAGCATTTCCAAATTTGTTGTATGTTTATATTTTATTTTCTTCTCTTTATTTGTTATAAAATAGAGTAGATGCATTTCAAGTAATTAAAGTTCAAAACAGACAGATTTTAGAAAAAAAAACCCTTGGCCTGCTGGTTTATGGTATCATTGCTGAGCTCATTTCTCAGTTCTCTTGAAATCACTATGAATGCTATTCACAAAATATATAGACAAATGAATGCATTGAAGCACTAAATAAATTATATGTTATATCCTGTGATCAGTTTATGTGGTTTCTAACAACAAAGTGCATTTTATAAAATAATTTACTTGGTATTTTCTGGATTTTTTATGAATATGTGAAAAATTTGAAAGAATCTTGAATGTTGCAGTATCCAGAAAAGTGCATGTATTATATGTAGTTTGCTTTTTTTAATATAGCAATAGCTCTACAAATATATATTTGGAGATGCATTTTTTAAACCTGAATATGTAAATGTAAATTGGTAGCCTTCCATAGGTGATTGGAGAAGTCATGTAAGCATAACATCTTGATAAGCTGTGATAAATAATGCCACTGGCATAAGAAATCAGTGGGTCAAATGGACAGGACATTACTCTCCCTCCTAAATTTATAGGTTCTATGCAAACATGTATTTAAAGGACAATTTAGCATGTCTTCTGAATATAAATTTTGCAGGAATTCCTGAGGAAAGATATATTTAAGTGGGCTTACATTTTTATTTGTATGTCTATATTAATTGCATAATCAAATACATTGGCTCATATTTCCTACTGAATAAGCATTTTAAGAAAAATAAAAATAACTATTTAATATAGCTCTGTATTTCTTAAATCCATAAAATGCTTTTTAATTTGAAAGGCATTGTGGAAGAAGTTTCATTGTAATGCATTTAGGGATTTTGCTTTTGAAAAGCAAAGCTGACACCTGTCTAAATTCATAGTGTCTTTATGCTATACTGAGGGAGTGGGATCTCTTCCTTATCTTGGGCTCTCTTGTTTGCTTTTCAGTTGCTGCGAGTGTGGCTGTGGAAGGGCTTCTTCCCTGTGCGCTGTTGCCCATCCAAGCCTAATATGGTTAGTGTTCCCCTCCCGCTTTCACTCCTATGTAATGTCCCACCTCTATGTATTATCGTCAGCATTCCTTTTTTTTTTTTCTCCATTTGTGTACATTTTAACAGTTAGTGCACCAGGTATGCCTAAAAGGAGAGTAGATGGAAACCAATTTCCAAAGGGGAATCTTAACAAGTGATTTCACGGGGGATAATTGTCAATAAAATATACATAGAGCACATCATCCTTATCTCAAGCATTCATACTTCTTTTCCAAAGCTTTTACTGTGGTCCTGATTTAAACCAGAAGCTGTAAGATTGTAGATTGGAGCATCTGTTTCACATTTAACATGTTTGTGTGTTTGTTGTTCCATTAAGATGAAAATCATATCATATATGGAAATGGAATGCTACCTCTTGACGAAATGCTACTTCAAATCACCATTTCTCCCTAAGAACCATGGAATGACCATAACTTAACTGGAATTTTTTTTTTTTTGTAATCATTGTGGATATATGTGGCATTGGAGAACAGAGCCACATGTAATTTTAAATGTTTTTTAATATTTTAAGCGTGAATAATTTCAGATATTTGAAGTGATATTTCTAATTTGATACCGGTGAAATAAAAAATATGCACATATTGGAGATCAGGGTCCAAAGGGCTAGTCTTAATTACTTACAAATGCAAATCCTAAATATATATCTGGGTTATAGCTATAAAACTATAGGCTAGGCCAAAAGATCAGAGAGCTCTATTCACAGATTTAGAGGGACTCCTGCACAATAGTGTGCTATCATGTTAAAAGTGAAATAATGTAGATAATTTCTTCCCAGATTAAAGATTCTACATCGCTGTACTACTGTATTGAGCTCTTATCTGTAGGTAAAACTTGCTGGGAAAAGATATTCTGAAATGCATTTTAGAGAAGTATAGGGCTTCCTTGGGGTACTGTAAATTGTAACTTGTATTCTCTAGGTGTAAATTAATTTTTGTTGATTACAAAAACTGGTGTGAATATGTATGCATGTGTGTGTACATGTGAGAAATGGTGGAGTGGATATCAGTGATCTTCTGAGAACAGGAGAAAGTTACAAGCAGGTTGCCAAAAATCAGAGATCTTTTTCTCAACCTTTTGAAAATTGTGTATTTGAAGGAAAATTTTGAGGTTAATATGAAAGCAGAGATTTATTCCACATGATTTCATTTACTCCACAAATTCTTTTATGAGCATGGGGCTTTGATGACAAACCACAAATTCCTGAAATCTGGCAATGGCTAAAGTATAACATAAATATGGTTTTACACTGTGATTTTTTTTAAACTGCTGTATGAAAAGCTAAAACAAACAAACAAAAATGGTTGCTGAATTGCTCAAGCTACTTGAGTCTTAAGTAGAATTGTCATAAGAGATAAATCATCACTGATGCAGAATAGGCAGATTTTACATCTTGGAAAAAAAGATCAAAATCCAGGCCTACCTTGAAGTAAATCTCAAAGATAATGAGAGTATGAACATTCATGAAGACATGACTTAGAAGTATTGGCAAAAACAAACTTTAGCTAGATCTTAAATGCTTGATTTAAGGAAAAGTGGAAAGGCAGAATGCTTCCTTCACAAAAAACCCTAAGATAACACAATCATTTTTCTAATATTTTTTTTCAAATAATGCTAGCAGTTGTGGAGGCAGTGAGGGATTTGTGTGTGTATGTATATTTATGTGTGTATGTATGTGTGCGTACACTGAATGAATGAATGAATGAATGAATGATTTAGCCACAAATATGCTTAGATACTTAATAAAATGCCAACAGTTTTTGTGGAAAAATATATGAAAGATCCAGAATGTTTTTAATACATTCTTAGTGAAATGAAACAAAATAAAGCAAAGAAACAAACATAATTTATCTTATATAATTAGACTGTAAGAGAGTTGTCCAAAATTACTACTGGAAAAGAATGGAAGCTTCAAATATGTTTATTGTTAAACAGCTTTCTGAAACTCCATTTTATAATTGAATTTTAAGTCACTAAGAAGTTTCAGTTAAAGATAGTATTTGTTTAGATTAAAGCATTGATGAGAAAACAATCTTTTATAATGGAAATTAAAGGCTGAGAAGAATAATTTTCCTAGTAGAGTCAGTAAAATACTGAAAAATCTTGACTGAAATCTTATCACCTAATTTCATATGTATAATCATATCAGTATAAGTCATAAAAATTTTCAAAGGAAAGTCTCTATCATCATCATTTGTGAATAGACATATTTACAATTACAGAACAAAGGTTGTTAGACATTTGGGGATATTGGAATGTCACTGTTTTTCATTCCTGGAAAGACCACTCATGTGTGGTTGGTTTTGACCTTAATATAATGCAACGCATGTACATTAAAATTGCCCACTGTAAATTTACTGGCTTTTAAAGGTACCTTGATATACCTTATGGAAATCTCAGAACCTGAGAAGCATAATTTTGAAGACATTGATTTAGGTCTTTGGTTCTACAGTTCAACTATATTAAAACTTCCTCAATGCTCCAGAGTTCTGAGCTTTGCTCTATCTTCCATTAGAAAACCAAATGTATTTCAAATACATGATGTGTCATTTATAAGATGATATTGGTAATTCGATGTTGCCACCTTTGATCTCAAAGTATTTTTTTTTTCAATGTTTATTTATTTTTGGGACAGAGAGAGACAGAGCATGAAGGGGGGAGGGGCAGAGAGAGAGGGAGTCACAGAATCGGAAGCAGGCTCCAGGCTCTGAGCCATCAGCCCAGAGCCTGACGCGGGGCTCGAACTCACAGACCGCGAGATCGTGACCTGGCTGAAGTCGGATGCTTAACCGACTGCGCCACCCAGGCGCCCCACAAAGTATTTTTCATCACTCTTCTTGCCCACTTGTTATGAAATCTGTACAGATATATAATAATGTTAATATTTCAAATACTCTTTCTTCATTGACTTAAATCTATCCAATGATAGAAGATATTTCTGTAATATTTCTCTACCCACTGATAGAAGATATTTCTGTAATATTTCTGAATGAAACCTGATGTCTAAATTTTAGTTACACCATGCCCAATATTGCCTACATTTTTAGCTTTGATCTTTGACTATATGCCATCACAGCTGGTTTGAGATTCTATTATTTTACTTCTCAAAAAAAATCTATTTTTACAAATACCCAATGTTGAACAAATTGGTTTTTAGTGCAAGTAAGATGTTAATGTATGTAATTTCTAGAATACTATTATAATTTATCCCTTAATATTCATTTGTGGTTATGTTTACAAACGGCAAAATATGTTTATAGCATAATATTTTTTTAAGTCCATCTGAAAGATCTCATGGTCCCAAAATAGCCTTTTCTTGTGTTTCTTAAATTCGAACATATGCTAGACTATTTTCTTCATTCATTAGTTTTCATGCTTTTCAAGTGTTTTCGTATACCACTTACTATTTTTTCTGAAGTGTTCATGTGACAAGAGAAATGGAGTTTTATATTCCAAAAACAAAGCATTAAATGTTCATTTATCTATCCTGTGCTTTTTTTAAAGATATCAGTGTCATTTTTAAAGAGTTTTTTAAATATTATTAATCAGATATGAGGGGAAAACTTTAGCTTCTCTCATAATGCAGAGATTAAGACCAAAACCAAAACAAATTTCTCTGCCCAAAAAGATCACAAAATTACATTGGATCATTGTCTTAATGTTTCAATAAACTATTTTTCTTTCTCTATATTAAGTGAAAGTTTCTTAAAATTTGAAGTAAACAAATTTTTATTTTTATATACGTGCAACAGAGATTATTTCATTCCTCTTCACAACATTTCTGCCAGGGAGGAATGTGGAAATACTATCCCATTTTATAGATTTAGGAAAGAGACAGAAAACAAAATTATGCCTTCTAATTCTAGACCCTCATTTAAAGTGCTCATAGAAGGCAGATGTGAGTCTTGCTTACTATATATATATATATATATATATATATATATATATATATATATATATATATATATATATATATATATATATATATAAAATATCCAATTCCATTTGAAGGTTTCCTATGTAAAATACAACTCTGAACTGTTCCAAAATCCCTTTTATAATACTTGTAGAACCGCAGGCGATAGTGGTTACTCAGTGGGCCTACTCTAATTGAGAAATTCAGTGGTCATACCCATGAAATAGTTTAAAAATTAAGAGATATTACTTACTCTCACATTAGAACAAAATTTACTGAAAACAGGGAGACAATCTTCACATGTCATACTTTATGAAATGTGTTTTTATATCAAAATTCTAAGTCAATTAAAATTCAACTCAATATTGAAAAGTCTGTAATTCGTCTTTGAGTTTTTTGAGGTATTTGAAATTGTACAAGTCTTCGTATTGTTAATTCTAAAATGATTTGAAGAGTTCCTTCACGAAAAGTTTACAAATTCATAGGTACTATACTATTTTGGAATGTGTAATTTCCAAGGTATTCTTTTTTCTTTGTCTTTTAAAATGTAGAAATTACAAATGGTATGTAAGGCATAAAATAAGAAATAAGTTAGTGTCTCATACTGACTTTAATCACAGAGTGGTTAGTATCTTGATAGAATGTGAGATGGGACCTCGCAAGCTAGGTCCTTATTTTGTGTGGTATCATCATTCCATTCCCATATCCCAAGGAAAGTGTGATTTTCAACTGAGTACCTTGTCTCTCGAAAAGTATGTGTGAGAATTTTCAGTAAACAATAATGGATCACTTGCACTGTTTGTATAACTGAAATCTATCTTTAAGGAACTCAAAAATCACAGTACTCTAAAGACCAATGTGAACTATATGAATGAGAGTCAAGATCCTGCCAGCAATACAGCCTAAATATCCAAAGTCGCATTTCACTACATTTTCAATTCACATTCTTATTGAAGAATGTTGTCCCAAAAAACAAAACCTAACCTATTTCCATTATTCATTAGATATATTAATAAACTCATGTTTATATACCTCTTTATTTTATGAGGCTGAATTAGCTGAGCTTTTATTAAAACTACTTTTGTTCAGTTGGAGAGAATCCTGAAGTGAAAAAGTCAGACTATTTCCTCAAAATATGTAACTTATGCTTTTTAAGATTCCAGCAATAAAAGTCTTACACATTACATGGTGGTTGAGGTCACTATTATGTATGAATAAGAAAGTGTGCATATATGGAGAAATGCAGTTTTTAAAGAGATTTAAATTACAAGGAGATTTTATTTTCCGTAAGCAAAACATACTGCCTCTGTGTATGCTACAATTTGTTGCCTTAAGAATATTTTTCCTTTAAAATATAGGTAAAGCATTTCTTAATCAATCTGGAAAATAGAGGAACAAGATCAGAGTTTCCATTTCTGAGCTAGGGACTGCATATGCTCACTCTTTTAAAGAAATCAAACTGCAGAACTGTTTCTTCTCCCATCATTGCACCCCTCCCCACCTAATTTAGAATTCAGTGGGGGAAAAAAAGTGATTTTTCAGTGTTTATCTGTAGGCAAAAGTAATGGAAAACTCTGATTCTGTGGAAGCTATAGTTGAGCAAGGATCTATGATCTCCCTTGGCTCTTGCATTCACTCATCTTTCCTCATTGGCCATAAGGGTGCCGTATAAATTACTGATTCTCTGCATTGCTTGGGACTCAGGAGGGCTTGATATTCATACCTCTAATTTATCATCAAATTCTTAATTTCCATCCAAGAACCAAATTACTCATTGGCACATGCATACATACATACATACATAAAGATTATTGCTTACTCTTTCATGTATTATGGAAATCTCAGATATCCAAATTTAGATGTCATGGTTGGGGCCAAATTTTTAAGATCAGAATTAACATCATCAAGGATGCATTACCCAAATTCTTAGGGTAAGTATGGGAGAAAATAGACTGATTTCTAAATGACCTATAAAGTCATTGTTATATTTACCTATTAACTGTCTCGCTAGGACTTTTTAATAAATATTAATTAATGATTATGAATTACACCTACATTTAATATGATTTCTCATGCCCACCTCTACTACTAAACAATAAGGTGATATTGTTCTCTAGGAGAAAATAAGTATAAATGACTACAAGATGATTCCTCTAACTAGAAACACTAAAGATATTTTTAGTACAATGATATCAAAGCTCATTAAAATTGTGATATGGAGCAAAATGAAGAAACGGTTTCTTTTCCACTCAGAAAAAAAAAAAATCAGTTCCAGAAGGTAGGAGGCATAATTTATGTACAGAATGGCATATTTATTGACTGTTTGTCTGATGGGTTAAAATTATGCATCTGGAGCAGGTACAGATGATGATGCTGAATGAACAGGCGTCCTGCAATGCTTTGTTAGTGAGGCTGAGCCGCTGCTTGGTGCCAGTATCTGCCAGCTGCACTTTTACTTGCTGTATCTTGTTGAGGCTTGTTTTAATGATGCTTTGGGGGGTTCCAGAACTTAATTTTATATGTTAATGTGACATGCAGCCGTATATGTTATAGAACTCCAGAGATGCCCATAGTCAAAAATAACTCCTTTCTATTGCCCTCCTGACTCTCACCCTAGGTATTAAAATGTTAACCAGTCCTCACCAAGGTATTCCCAAATCCCTTTTTAGATGAGATCCAAGGTTTTATTTCCATTTTCATATGAGGAACCTGCATGCAATTTAAACATCCATGAGGCTTATTTAATGATAAAGACTATTTGACGATACACGTTTGAAAGCTCTTTTCTTTTCTTTTTTTTTTTTCTTTTGAAGGTAGGAGAGTAGAAGGTAGACTGGATGTTTGTTTTCTAAAGTAAACTGAAACAACTCGTATACTTTTCAGGTCTCTTTAGAATTCTTCTAACAAAGTTTTCTTTGTCAGTATTATTTAAATAACATAAATCTCAGGATGATTTTACACAATTTTAGTTAGAACATTGATTTTCAAAAGTAACAGTAACTTCTCTCTAGAGACACATGAATTAAAGATTGAAAGAATAACACAGTATCTAGAAAAATTATGAACAATGCATTAAAATAAATTTCACACAAAATGTAATTTTAGTATGATTTTATGTATTTTTTTTTCTCTCCATTTCACTGCAGTAAGTTGATTCAAGATGTCTTAAGGACTCTTGGATGACTAATGCAGCTATCTAAGTGTTATGAGTAAAATTTGAAAAGCCACCAGATCCCCATTGTGTATTTTTCCTCACCTGAGAACAGCATATCTATTAAGTTATTAGTTCAAATTTCTTCAGATTTCACTAGCTGTATTTTATTAGTAAATTGCCAGTTCTTCAACATGATAAAACAAAAATAATTGTATTTTTCTTTCAAAAATGACACAAAGATGGGTTGTGTTATCTACTTTGTAAAATACATATGTAATTATGTACTAGGAAATGATATAGAATAAAATAGGTTTTATTTTTCCATTGAAATAGAGACATATTTAAGAAATAACGTGGAATATATAAACAAGGAAGAGTCCTCGTTTGTATGTGTTGATTGAACACTTCATTTACATCACATAGTAATTTTCAACCAACTTTGTAATGAAAATATTTTGTCAGTCTGCCATTTTGGCTGTATATTTTTTATGTAGAAATAAATGGAAATTTTGTTTTTAATAAATTCAATTTTGTTATGGAGCTTATGAAGAATAAATTCACTTACTTAGAATTTCACTAAAAGTAATTTAAATATTTTCATTTTTGTCACTTGTTTTAATGTCGTATGGTTAATCATGTACCACATCAATTTAATATCCATCAGCATATTTCTTCTCCAAACACTTGTCATTGTGTAGATGCAATCAAAATATCATTCATTCATTCATGTATCCATTCATCAATGTGACAAATATTTTTGGTGCCAACTCTGAGACAGACACTGGGTCACTGCAGAAATTTATAGGTAAATGCTAGTTTCTGCCATTCAAGAAACTGACAATGAGTAAGAGACCCAGAAAACATATTGAAATGATTATGTTGCATTGAAATGGGAATCACAATGTGAGAGGGGTACAGAAAGCTCTTGGGTTCAGAAAGCTATTGGGAAATAGGGCATTATGTTGGGGTATCAGAAACAAAAGCATGAAGGAGGCAAAAATTGAACTAGACTTTGATAACTGAAAATTGTTACAAACAGCATCCTAGGTGTAGGAACCAGCATATGCACATTACGGAAACATGGGGAAATATCTTGAAGACCTGAAGATAGTTCAGTATACTTGAAGATAACAGAGAAAGTGTAGGAAATATGTATGAGGGCTATATTTAGGAATCCACACCTTATTATTTTATGGAAGATTTTGCAGGAGACAGCTAACAACACAGAAAGGTACCTTGTTTACAGTAATCTGGCTACAGCCATGTCTTGTAGAATTTAGGACAACAGTTACAGAATGCAGGGGCATCTGTTCAGAGGCACTTACTGCAATCCAAAAGAAAAATAACAAAGCCTTAATTGAAGAAGCAGTAGACCTAATGAAAAAGAAGAGATGAATTGTAAGACTTTGACGTTATACAATGCTTGGGATTTTAATTTGTTGTGAAGTACAGGAGAATATGGCTTTGTTCTTAAAGGGGCCGAGGCCTTGCCAATGTTAGTAACAGGAAAAGCAGGCAATGGATCAAGATTGAAAGTAAAGAGAAATATACTGATTTGTTTTTCAGACCTATTGAGTCTGTATGCCAGTGGAATACTCCTGTAAAATAAATCTATGAGGGACAAGAGTGTAACTTTCAAAAGAATTAAATCAGAATAGAGGTATTAATTAAATGGATGGAAATGAATGGATTGACGGTAGAAGAGAGAAGTAAGAAGCATCGCAAAAGGAGTAGAGATTTCAGTCCATCATGAATAATTAAAAACTAAGATAAAGTCATGAGGTGACTCTCATTAGTGAACCTCCAAGCACAGATTTTTTTTTCAGCAACAAGAGCAGGTTTCAAAGACTGGTAAATTAGTAAGTGGTTGAGTAAAACAGGAGAGAATAAAATTTGGGAAGTGGGGCTGAATTGAGAGAAGTTGCAGATTATGGTAAATTTGGTAGTGATCTAAGTGGACTGAGTGGAGAAGAGCAACTTTACTTCAAAACTCCAATACAAGAGAAAAAAAAAATGATAGAGTAAGATACTAATTCAGTAGAAACTATTTTGGGCAATTCATTCTGTAAAAAGTCTTCTGAGGTGACAAAAATATTTAAGAATGAAAAAGAACAGAAACATGTCTGGTGTATGGTGTATGGTGAAGAGAAGGGTTTTGGGGGGAGTTGTTTGTTTGTTTGTTTTAAATGGGTCTGGATGGCTTCAGACTTCTCCGTGAAATCTGGGCAAGAGTGAGAGACGCTGGTTTGGGAAATATGACTCATCCAAAAGAAGGACTGGTGTTTTTACACGCTGCTGGTGTGAAAATCAGTCAGGGCTGCACTCATTTCAATTGCGTTTCATGCTTCTGGGCTTCACGTGATCAACACTTGGAGATGTAGCTAATTGTAGCTTACTCTGTTCCAGGCGGTGTGGTTACAGCAAAGCAAAGCAAGATCCAGAAGAGGAAAAGATGCATTTTCATAATGGGCACAGTAAGCAAATTGTGAAAAATCAAAAGGAAACAAAATAGAAGAGATTTTATTGTTATTTTAGTTCATTTTCAGACAAGGAGATGTAATAACTGACCAAAATATTTTGTTTAAAACAATGTGTTATGTTACATTCCATCAAGCATATGGGCTTGGGGGCACTGCTGGTTGACCCTAGACAACAGCTGGATGGTTTATTAGATTTTTTAAAGCATACCTTCATTATAATTACTTAAAAAAATTTCAATCAATATAAAAAGCTGTTATATTTCAAACCAAATTTCCAGGTCGATTCTAATTTCTTGCAACACAGTCAGTAGAAATCTATGGTTCAATAACACCATCAGATTAAATGAATAAAATTTCTCAGTATTTTTTTTTCTTCCTCTAGCATGATAGCAAGAATTTCCCTGAGCAGATCCGGTAGCAACAACCGTCATTTGATGATTTGAAAAAGACTATCCTTTTTAAAAATGCAGAAAATCAAGTTTTTATAACATGCATTATAAATTAGCCTAAATGAGTTCTAATTAATGGTATTTTAATATGTGCATTTTTAATAAATAGTACAGTGTTAGTTGATTTGTTAAGTAAATTACAAGAAGAATTTCTTGTGTTTTTGTCACTCTCCTGTGACTATAAAAATCAAAGCCATTAAAGCCATAATTCATGCTGCAAAATATTGAGTCTATTATCATAGTTCCCATCTTATTTAATGGTATTTATCCTCAAAAAAAAAAGACCCTGTGAAATTGGTAGTCTTTAAATGTGATGAAACTGAAGCTCATAGAACATTAGAGTCTTGTATAAAGTCATGCAGTAACAGAGGTATGACAAGTTGAACTTTTCTTTTAGTTCTGTGTCAGTCTTACTGGACCAAAGCTCCAGAAAAATTATTTTAAATTATTTTTTGTGAAACCAAAAGTAACCATCTGTGATGGCATTTTATTTTTTTTTAATTTTTTAAAAATATTTATTTGAGAGAGAGAGAGATATAGAGAGAGACACAGAGTGTGAGCAGGGGAGGGGCAGAGAGAGAGGGAGACACAGAATCTGAAGCAGGCTCCAGGCTCCTAGCTGTCAGCACAGAGCCCGACGCGGGGCTTGAACCCACACACTGTGATATCATGACTTGAGCCGGAAGCTCAGAAGCTCAACTGACTTGAGCCACAGTGGTGCCCCTCCATGAAGGCATTTAAGTGAAATATCAAGGCCAAATAACTCACTAACATTTCATTGTCAAGTTTAGTAAACAAAATTATCTTAGTTTGCCTTAGTACTGACTCCTCACCATCAGTGATGTGCCTTTTCAAATATGTTGTCATATATTTCTGCACAGCCAACAATCCAGATTTTTAAAATTATGTAAGTGACATAGCTTGCACAAATTAATCTTAACTGTGAGAGGGGCTGTCCCACAGCTTGGCCATTTCTAAGAATTTAAGCCAGAGGTGCATGTTAATAAATGTTTCACATTCCATCCATCACAAGCACTTATGTATTTTAACGCGACATTTTATGTTTCCCAAAGAACTGCCAGGAGTAAGAACTTATATATTGATCCACACACCTATGAGGATCCCAATAAGCTGTCCATGAATTCCAAGTTGGCAGATAGAAGCTTCATGAACACCATTGAAAGAAGGCTGAGCAGGTACAACAGTGTTTGGACTTTAAGTTGTGTTTATATTATAGAACGTAATATGTCAATGTCCTGATCTACAAAAGAAAGTTTTAATCTTGTAATCGACTTTCAAAGTGGTAGGTGTTCTGATCATATTAACAAGTTTCCGTGGAGCTTCCATATATTTTTTTTTTATAAATTTTTTTTTTTTAATACAGATTATTTTTGGGACAGAGAGACAGAGCATGAATGGGGGAGGGCAGAGAGAGGGAGACAGGAGAATCGGAAATAGCTCCAGGCTCTGAGCCACAGCCCAGAGCTCGAACTCACGGACCATGAGATCGCGACCTGAGCTGAAGTCGACGCCTAACCTGACTGCGCCACCCATACTTCCTGTGGGAGCCTATATTTAAACCAGCAAATGTTTTCTTTATTAAATAAATAAATAAATAACAAGGAAGTAGCAAAAGTATGTATATTTTGTACATATTTATATACATTATAAAGTGTACAGTGTTTTATCTACTGTTTTTCATTCCATATATAATCTGTAATGCCCAAAACTACTATATAATTTAAGCAGTTCACTCTATTTATGTATCATCTCTTCCTTTGAAATTGTTCTTTTGTCCTGCTATAAACTTTTCTCCTTTTCCTTCTCAGTAATTAAAGGCACCAAGCATAGTGTAGACATAGAAGGAAGATGCAGTGATTTCAATCAGTTGGCGCTTAATTTCTTTCTAATGTTTTCAAGGTTTTGTAGGTGAGATGAATGAAGCCATTAACCCCAGAGTGTTTAATGATCACCTGTAGATGAGATTTTTTCCCAGCACCCACTTTCTAACCCTGATAAATGTTGGACCCTGACACTTGTTTTTGTCTCACTAATAGGGGCTTTTAGTATTCATAGAGCAAGGATTTGAAATGAGTTTGTAGCTTTTTTTCATCTTTATCACAAGGTGAATTTGGCAGGCGGACGCGTTGAAACTTCCAGGAAAGAGGAATTATCCGTAGCAATCAAACCCTCAAATAGGTTACAGAAAGTGCAACGTAGATTTCCTGGGCTTAAGCAAAGTATCATGCGGGGGCAGTTTGATCATCCTGAACATCGTCATCCAATTTAGAAGGTGTTAGGACCAAAAGTAAGTGTTGTAGCAAATTATGTAGTGTGTGTGTGTGTATGTCAGTGTATTATGAACATTCAAGGGTTTCTTCCATTAAGTTATTATTACACTTCAGGATAAAAGAAAATAGCCACAGTAATGTTATTAACAATTTCACAGCATTAATTGTCCTGTATTTTAGTAGAGTTTGTCGTCATTGATCATCAATGAACTTGAATTTCTGTTTTTTTCAAAACATATATTAATCCTCATGTACTATGAATTCACTGCTTAGAGAAAAATGTATCCAAATTAAAGGAGCCAGAATGTATCGACATTGCTTTTTCTTCTGACTCTTCACTTTTATCCTAATAAAATATTAACTCAATGTTTTCCAGATTGAGTATTGAAGTTTAAATATTTTAATTAGACACAACCATAGGTGGTTTAATAATTTTAGGGAAAGAAGCAGTCACACAGAACCCTGAAAGTTCCGAGATTAATTATTTTCTAAAGAAAATCTAATTTTGTACCAAAGATATTCAGAGTTTCAAATTCTTTTTAAACGGTATGTGTCACACGTGGTTATGTATGAAAGCTTCCCAGTATAAAGAGTTCTGTAATTTTTCAGCCATCCAATAAAGTATTTTCGAAAGTGACATAACTAAGGCTTTATTTTATTTTAAATTCATTTAGTCTTGCTATGTCTATGTGCTCTCATTCTTCCTTCTTTGTCCCTCATACCCTACTTAACACTTTCTAAATCATCTAGAAATTATCAGGAATATTCTTTAGACTTGCTTTTAACACTTGTTTCTCCTTCCACAGCATAATCAATTTTTAAAATTATATAAAAGCAAATATGCATAGCAGCAATATGTATTCAATAAATGCTGTGAATTCACTAAGTAATTTCATTTGATTGGGTATCTAATTCAATACTTATTGACATAAGTGGTTGATCATTTAATTTTAAATATGGAAAACAGAGCAGAAACAATATACAACCTTTTTTTGCACCCCAGACAAAAGAAACAACTCAAAATATTTTACCTGTAAATAACGAGTGAATTCCCAAATCATATGTTCACAATAGGGTCACAGATGAGAATGTGGACCCCTTTAAAAGTCCTAAAACACCAATAGTAACATTATTGTGTTGTTGATTGAACTTTTGAATCAGTTTAGCTGTTAGAGATTGTTTTTTCCGTGTCTCAAAGAAATACACACTTCCAGTAAAATTCTCATGGAGGAAATGTAGTAGAAGAATAAATGAGACCTTCAGACATGTGGGTTTTCAAAATTTAGATGTGTTTTCTTCCATTTGAGTACATGCCCATAATGTGCTATTGTCCCTTTGACAGTAACCACAAAGAGGGTATTACTGAGCAAGGGCACCTAATTCTTATCAGAACAAATAGGTTCTTACAGAGAGACAGAGGAGAGACAGGGACAAGAGAAAGACAGTAGAGAAACAAGGAAAATATGAATTTTTTAGTAACTAAGAAATCATTTTACAAAACTTATACCGGCAGTGATGAATGAGAAGGAATATTTGAAATAAGAATACAGTGTGGAAAAAATGGTCACCAGTACAATTAAATGAAATTTGAATTTGAATATGATCAATATTTTATCCGGAGGAAAAGGACTCTAAAAGGACAATGCATGGGTGCCAGATAATTATAGGTTCAAGAATTATAAGGGACATTATATTTTCCTATGCATTAATGATACTATTCAATAAAATGTAGTTATTAATTATGATAATTCATGATAATAATAGTAGGCAAGTCATCGAATTGCAGCCGTCATGTCTTCATCTCATCCCACACGGCTGCCAAATTAACTCTCTAAATAAACTCTGGCCAAAGCTGAATTTTATTACCATGGTAAACGTGGAAGCCTTAGGACAAGCAAGCCCATCTTCTGGAATGAGTCTGATAATGAAGGTATGTTGAAATAAAAGCAGTCGCCATATTACTATGGAAGACAGTATTGCATAGTGGTCAAGAACATGGACAATGGATTTAGTCGGCACAGTTTATAATTTGGTTCTGGCCATAAATGGAGGACTTTGGCACAAGTTGAAGTTAAACATTCAGAACCATAGTTTCCCCATCAATGATAAGAGATAAGAATAGCTCCTAGCTTACGTAAAAGGAATATGAATTAATACAGATAAAGTTTTCCTGGACAGGTATGGCAGGGTACTAACAGATATATAGGTATCACTATATTTGTTCCTGTGCTCTGAACTCCTTTCATATGTCTTT